CGCGAGGTTCAACCCCCACTGCAATATTTTGCAAGGCTGATAGACCTGGAAAATGCTTCTCATTGGTTCCCTGACTCCTACCAACGCGAATGGACTTTTTCGCAGCAGCGTGGTCGTCATTTGGTTCTTACTGTTATTATTCTTATCATGGCAGCGATGGCGGTGGCGGTTGGAGAGTATTAGAAAACTTTTTGGTCTTTAAAACCTCAATGTCTATATATATATATATATATGTATATGAACAGCGTTGTAGTATAGGTCAAATGTCAATGCGTATGTAGTTGGACCTGGACCTCACAGCTCCACGTCCTCGTCCTTGCGTTTACACGTCTATGAAGTCCAATTCTGTGTTCGGAAACCGTACAAATTCGGATGAAGACTTTCATCATCACTAATGTAATATTGTAATGGCAGGAGGACCGGAGGAGGAACATGCAGAGTTTTGGTCAAGAGAAGTCAACAGAAATGATATACCGTTCATGTCTTGCGAATGATTCACGATAGTTTACAAGTCATTTTCTAAAACGCGCATTTAGAATAGATCCAATTTCTTGTGGAACCTTTACTCTCTCTTTTTTTTTTTTTTTAACTCTTCCGGTTGTGCTCCTCTTTTCGGCCGAGAAACTGCTCCACCCGATGCCAAATCAAAACACCATCGTCATTGCCCATTCCCATCAGATGTGATCGATGCGCAGGACGTGGAGCTGGATATTTTCGAGTTTGTTCTCGCAATCAAAAACGCCTAATTCATTTTGATTAGTTTGTCGTGATATTAGTTGGATTGTAGTCCTCACTACTATTTATGGGTTAGTTCAATTTTATTATTTCATTTATATTTATGGATTCATGTAATCTTATTCATGCAAAAAAAATATATATATATTTTTGATTTGCTAATATAACAATTTGTGCATGTTCTTTTCGACGTGGTTTGATTTGTCGGTCAGGTCCCCTCATGTCTCTTGGCTCTAGTGACTGCGGAAATGTAAAGATTGGTCCTTTCGGAAGCAAACCAATGCCTGTGCAGCTGCAGCAGTAGAGGATGGGCATGCAGACTAATTAAAAGTATATAGAAACTTTGAGGAAGAACTTTGAATCCTTTAGAAGTTAAATGAGATATGGAGACCAAATTGATATAGACTTATACTACTACTAGTTTAAAGCTCTGTTTTCAAACTCGGACCGGACCGGCCGGTCGAACCGGGAACCGGCCAGGTAGCCGGTCCGAGTCAACTTAGAAAACCGGAAATTTTAAAATTCGGTCAAAGCCGGTCAAAATCCGGGTTTGACCGGAAAAAAACCGGTTTTTCAGGTTCAACAGTAATTTTTTTTAAAAAAAATTCAAACTTTATAATATTATGTTTTGGCCCCCTAAATTGTTAAAACTTATTCGTATACCTCAAATATTTGATACTTTATAAATATTGTCCTACAATTTGATGTTATTTTTCAATTAAATTCATAATTTTAATTCTAAACTTGTTAATATTTATTAAATAATATAAATTGCTACTTGATTGTTCTAATTTCTTTGTATTTTCTTGTTAAATATATTTGAAACATCAAATATATATGAATATACCTTTATTAATATCAATATATTATTAGATATGATATATATATATTTTAATTTTTAAATAATTTTTATTTATGACGTCATCCGATTCGACCCCTATCGACCCCCGGTCGAACCCATTGACCCCTGATCCCTGACCCCTGACCTTGGCTGAGTCGCTATCCGGTCCGGTTCTGAAAACATAGGTTTAAAGTCTCCTCCGGCCTCCTACTTGCTTTCAGGCATTTGACGCATATTTTCTACGGAAACCGGTAGTACGCCAACATTAAATGAGCAATGGAGACCAGATTGTGGAACTCGTGTTTTTCAAGAGAATTCTCTTCCAGGCGTGGAATTCAAATTTTTTTTTATTTTTTATTTTTCACACCAACATTAATGTTCTATAGTAGTAGTACATGTTTTCCCGGAATGGCAGCATACGTAGAGAGTACAGTTGGATAACCTCGCCCCCGCACGCAAAGAAATGTCAACACGCACGATTCCATGATCAAGAATACAACTTTGGGTGGAAAAGAGGATAAAAGTTAAGGATTAATCTATTGTATGCTGACTGGTTGACAGTGTAATACGTACATATTCATTATTAGATAGATGCATGATACGTAATTTAAATTTAAATTATATATATATATATATTATGTATTCGATCGTGATAACATATACACTTTTCAGAGTGTACGGTAGATTAATTCTAAAATTTAAAAGAAACTTGGGAATATAAAAATCACAAGAACAAGAGCAGCGGCGAGGCAAACAGATATAGATAGAGATACAGATACAGACAGAGACACGCATCTCTGTTCCCTGACATCTGTCGTCGTGAAGCAAACAGGCAAGATCATGCAAAAATGCTGGTCAATCTACAGAATTATGGGTTAAAAATAAGAGTCAATTAGTACTGGAAGAAAAATCTCCAAATATATATTAGTTGTAGTAGTGAAAATTCTCAATTTGCTCTACCGTCGCACAGAAAAAGTTAGTCCAAACACTCGATTGGTTTTCTCCTCCATTCGCATGCGCACTTCCTCAAACTGGAGAAAACATTAAAATAAAGAGAGCACATACGTATTTGATTAGTCGAACCTTCGAACGTACTGAACCATGGTATTTCCATGTCATATTCGGATTTGAACACCACGCCAGCCAGCGAGAAATACAAGCTAGGAATCTTTTGACATCATCCATTCGTCATAAATTAGATTCTCATGGTCCTTCCTTACTTTCTAAGTTTCACTCCTGCCTTGTTGAAAAAAGAGGAAAAAAAAAAAAAAACAGGTGTCGAGTATGAAGTTTGCCAATGATGTGTCTTTGACCCGGAAGTCCCCTTTTTTAAGTTATTTTCCGATACTTGCAAAGCACGTACTTTGATACATCAAAGATTCGGAATAAAACAAAAAAAAAAATCCCATTGACGCATGATTTTTTTGGGTAAGTTTGACGCATGTTTGAATCAAGAAAATTGAGAGTTATTGGGGCAATTGCAGATGAAAATCCTCACTAAGCACGACGAAACTCTACAACTAAATGACACTACTGCTTTGATGTTTTGAGCCCAACCACCCTTGCACATAAATTCTTCGACACAGAAAATTAGTTCGATTGGGAAGTTGCAGCTGAAATTCGGCTGTTATTCACAGTAGTTCACTAGACGAAATCGGCTTTGGCATTCTGGGATGGTGACTTTTCCGCATTAGATTCTTACCTACAACTGAAACGAAATTGGTAAAATACACCGGAATTCGACGTCGCCTAGGCCTTTTCCCCAGAATGTACATGCATGGAAGAAGAGTACTGAAGAGTGATGGTACCATTCAAAAGAGCACCACTCATTCACATCCACAAGTAAGAGAAAGTCTCTGTCGATTTGCGTCCCCAGTGCATGCATCATCACCGAATTATGATTTAAACACCCAGCCCCCGGTGTAGAAGAGCAAGGAGTAATCTTATGTACATACCGATGGTTAAATGCATGTATGTATGACGTATGTATATATAAAATTTAGATTTAAAGTTCATATTCAAATTATTTATCGTGCATGCAAATCTGACAAGGTATACATGTTAGTAAGTACATAGAAAGATTAATTCAAAAACAACAATTCTTAATAATTTTAGTACGAGCATCATGTTTCAAACAACAAAATGGAGGGAGGGTTGGGTTAGGAGGCACGAGGAGACGGAGTGTAAGTGAAAAATCTCGGGTTCGAGTCCTCCTGCTTACACAAAAAAAAAAAAAACGTAAAAACTTTCGTTGATGTTTCAAACAACAAAATGAACGAAACTTGCAAAACAGCTCGCACTCTCTTCTTCTGCCAAAAAAAAGAGGAAAAAATAAAACCCCTCAGCCTAGTGAAGCTCTATATTCCCCAGATTATTTCCTGTCAAAAAGGAAAGAAGATCAGAAAATAAAAATTTCTTGTAAGAACATATCCATAGAGCTTAAAAAAAAAAGCCTAACCATAAAAAATGTTAAAGCAATGGTCCGGGAGACGGGAGGAAAATCCAAGCCAAGCCTAGGTCTATAGAGATGCTGAACGTGTTGAGTAACATGTTGTCTAAATTTTGGTGGGCTCTATCAATTGGGCCTTTGGGCTGGATCTTCCAGTGTGTGCAGGCATGCAATCCGGGTTGTCCATGCAAGTCGGTGTGCCAACTTCACGCGCCTTGTGTTTCAAAACCTTATTGATGGAAGCAATTTCTGGCCGAATGGGCTGGGCAATCCGAGGGGACACAGGCCCGTAGAAGAGGAAGATAAAAAGTACCAGTATAAATGACTCTGGCTTGCTCCGCTCCCCACATCTCAACAGCCGCAGGCTAGGGTTTGACGAACCAATTCGATTTGAGTGGGAAAAATTGAAATCATTCTCGCTTCAATCTTTTTCTCTGGTGCTTTCAATTATCAATCAGTTGGACGTTTTAATGTTTGATAGCAATTCAAAAATATTATGCCCAGGCGCAGCCCTTAAGATCGCCTTCCACCTTTCAGCAATGGAAGCGTTTCGAGTCATAGCTGCGCTAGATTAACGATTATATACTACAGACCCTGTTTTTGGGGCGTGTCGTATATGTCTAGGGCTTTCTCTTTAGGGTTTTCCTATTGAGGATTCAGTCCTGTTTTATCCCGCTCTTCTCTTTTATTTGTCGAGGCATAACTTTTTATTTTGGCTGCCCCTTTTTCCTAATTGTTGGAATTCCGGCAGATGACTTTCTGTTTGGGTTCTGACATCGGGTTTGCAGGGTCAAAATTGTTGATTGGTGAATGTCTCACGGTGAAGTGGGGTACATTTCTTTCATCTGGATTTTAGTTTTATCAGAATCAAATATGGGGGATTTACTACCTTGGGCATTCAATAATTGTTTAGTACAGGGGCTACTGTTTTCTTGTGCTTGTAATTTTTCATTTGATTGAGTTTGATTCGGGATGGCATTGCGAGGATGATGACAAAATTAGATGTGCGAGAGGTGAATACCTCCATGAACTCAACTTTCGAGGCTTATTGATATCCTGACTTGCGTTTGCCCTGGCCTCAAATTGTTTTTGGTCTTGAATTTTTTCTTTTGTTTGTTGCATTTGCACATTTCTATGGGGGAAAATTAAGGTTTATCTGATATGTTGGGACATTTACGGGCAGTTGCATCCTTTAGTGGCAAGGAGGAGGAAAATGATCATGGACGGTGAGGGGATTCTTTCCCCTGTGAACTTCCACAACTTAACGCTTATTGATATTCTGACTTGTCACGCTGCTTGTTGTTTTGTTTGCTGGCTGTGGAAAAAATCTGACTCGTTTTTTCCCACGCTCGTCTTTCTGATCAAAAGCATAAAGGTGCTCCAATTTGATCGAAATCAATCAGAAATAAGAAAGGGCATTTGTTCCTAGTCTTGCCTGAATCTTGATATTCTGTATTGTCGATCAATAGATTTATGTGAAGAACAATCAAACAGTAAAAGTTCCTTCAAACTGCTTTAGATCAGGTCCAATGAACTGCTAGAATTTGCCTCGTCGCAAAAATTCCTTCAAACAGTAAAAAGTTATAAAAGGAAGTTCAACAAGTCAGCTACAGGCTTTCATATTGTTTTCATGCATAATTTCAAGGTGAATTTAGACCTAGATTCTTTGGCAGATTGTACAAACAAGCTTTCGTCTCTCTAATAATGAACACGATACTATTTACTATTGGTAGAGTTGGATGACGTTATTTACTATTGGTAGAGTTAGATGAAGTGTCTTGACCCTACACAACTAGAACATGAGCCTTAGTTTGTAATCGTTGAAAATCCGTTCAATCAATTGCACATGGAGTAAGAGCTGTTCTCGCTAATAATCATATCATGATTAGAACACCATGATTTAGAGTACTTTCATGAAACTACAACAGCTATACATTGTGATTAGACAAAATCGAGTAATTGTGAAGAATTCTAATCCAAATACCATTCAAATTTCTAAATGTGACCCGAGTTTGGCAAACTGACTTTGATGCATTGATCTTCAAGTCTTTATGACTCCCAAGATTATTAACACCAGGTATAATATCCACATTTTAGTTGTAAGTGGTCAAGGCATCCGAAACTGCAAAAAATTTTAGTCCAACTACCATTCGGGCTTTCAATGGACCATATTTGACAAAATTGTGCAGGATGCATAAGCTTCAAGTATAGGTGACTAGAGAAGGCATCAAACCAGGTACAACATTTATCACCAAAGCCAATCCCGTTGACAGTTAAAACAAAACACAGCGCTGATGGCATCACTTATGTGACTTCTGACCAAGTAAGAACTGTTACTTTTTCAAATTTCAGTACGCCATGGTTATGCCAAGCCGTAACCAGTATCAATCAGTAACTAGCCAACTAAAGACGTGAACCGCAAGTTTCTAACTAGTCACAAGGTGGATATGCAGTTGCGCAAGGAAATAATAATGATCAATGCCGATAGCAAAACCGAATGTGCGGGTTAAGTGCAAACCATGCTAATGGCTATTGATCTTAAAGAAAGTTAGATCAACTGCGTTGGTGGTGGTGTGAGCAGCCAGTTCACGAGTTTGATAAAGTGCAAAGCAAACAGCTTCTTAATGTTAACTAAAAAGGAAGGTAAATGCAACGCTCGCTCTTTTGGTCCAATCTAAAATATCAGAAGCACACAAATCAAATAAAAGTTATTATTGTACATTTTGTGAAATTTGCAAGCATAATTATCAGAAGAGAAACCATTGTACTCCTTCCAGCTACAGCATAATTAGAAAGCATAGCTCAGACCTGCTACTTTCAGAAAAAAAAACTTGTTCTCTTGCAACTAATATGTATCCACAACACAGCGGCATCTGGAATATCCCCGACAGTACATTTTGTGAAATCAGAGTAATTTGAAGATCCCTGTAAGAGTTGACTACCAGCATTTCCTTTGAGTTTCCACCAAGAAAAATGTCATTACCTACTTATTATTCTTTCTCTAATCTTGTCCAGCACGAGTTTGTCATTCCTCAGCATTGCACCGCTAATATCGTAAATGGACACACTTTGCCAGTCTAAAATGTAGAATAAAATGTACAGTGACTATCTCCCACTTGTATTACTAAAATTTGCCAACAGGAAAAAGTAACAATATCTGAACAAAATCTATTCAAGTTCTCAATGAACTAGTACAAAAGTTGGAGCATGCAAAGGAACCAGCTGAATACCTGTCAGGCCTCTACCTGAGACCACATTTGACATTAATTGATGTTAATGCATTGGACTTCCATTAAATACAGTTACAACATGGACGGGAAGCATGTTTGTTTGGACAGAGTATTATTTGAAATCAAAAATGATATAAAGGTGCTAAGTTGTTGTATTTTTTTCTCGACAATCAATACCCTTCTATACTATTAAATAAAGCAACACAGAAAGACTAAAAGACAATACAGTGACTAACAGGCCCATCCTATTTCAAATTACACAACTAATTAACACATTTTAGAAACCTACCAGGTAATCCAAGTTTAACTCGATTAGAGTATATCCACACTCGGCATTGAGTGTGTGATGGTAACCTACCAAACCAAAGTGGATTGATCACAAAGTCACACATAGGAAATTACATGAAATGTACTCAAATTTATAATAGAAGGCAGTCTTCTCTGCCTCCTCCATCTCTACCAGAGTACAAATGCTTACAGCATCCCTGTATTGAAAAGGTGGACCTCGATTTTAACTTTAAATTACCTATAACTTGCAAAACTAGTTAATCTGCAGCAACCTGCTTATATACTTAGCCTACCATAACTTAAAAGCCACTATTACAACTAACAATTATCCTTCATTTTCATTTCTTCATTTTGAGCATTCAAACCTTACAACTAGTAGGATAACTATTGAGGATGGTCGATTGTTATTATTAGTCCCTCAAGTATTGAAGATGATTGAAATTCAGAAAAAAGAAGTTCTTCTTCTTAATTCTACCAAGACTAGTATCTGTTATCCAGGTTGTACCATAACGGTACAAAGATTTCTTCCGCAACAAAATCTTATAGATAACACATTTAGTATCCTCGGCACTATAATAACTCCGATGCGCCAAAATGGGGAACCTTTGAAGTCCCCGGCTGACTACAACAGCAATTGTATCTTAGGCCTCTGAAAAGCTAGCAAAAATTCAAACTTCTCAGTCCGAAAACCCCAATTTATACGGGTATATTTGTGTCAAAATCAGATATCGTCGCTTTTCAATCGACAAAACCTGTTTGGCGCCAGACGGCGTTGCGAACCTGACGAAGATCTCTGCCTTTGAGAGTTCTCCGACGCCTTCAAGCACCGAGAACGTGGTCTTCGGAGACCCAGCCGCCGATCCTCGTGCAACGATCTCGTGCGGCGGAGCATCTCATCGTCGGCGTCATTATCATCAACATCCACGTCAGCCAGCGAGCCGTTCCTCACCTTTCTCGGCATCATCGGCACATTCACCGGAGCCGACTGTTGGAACTTCCTTGCTGGCATCGACTGCGAGTAGGTGCTGTAGTTCTGCTGCGGTTTCGGAATAGAAGGAATCGCACGTGAAAACGGCGACGGTTGAGTAGGTGAAGCCGAAAGTGGGGTTTTGTTAAACGACGACGTCGAGGGAGAGAGAGAGGCCTTCCTGTAGAGCAAAGATTGGTTGGGGTTACGGTGGTCATCCGACAAGGCAGCAAGTATACCGAAATTCTCCGGCTTCCGGAAGGGCTGGCGCATGTTGATGACTGAGGAAGGGGAAGAGGACCGGCCACGAGGCTCAGTAAAGTCACCAGTCCAGAAGACGTCGTCTTCGTTAAGCTCGTCGCCGGAGGCAGAGTGTTGTCTCCAGAAGCACTGAGAGCGGTGCTTCGTTCGGTCGGAGAGAAAACGCCGAGAAATCTGTCAGAGGAGGGCGATCGAGGATGACGGGAATTAACGGTGCCGTTTTGGTCCATTTGAGTGTGACAGCTATCGTCCTACCTACTACTACTGCTGCTGCTGCTGCTGCCGCCGCCGCCGCCTCCGGTAGTAGTGAAACTGCAGCACCGCGCGAGTAATCTGTTGGCGTTGGGATGGGTTTCGGGAGTACTATTTTTTATCCCCTGAAAACGGGCCTTGGAAAAAATAAATGCCCTAGAAATATGTGGGTTCCATATTTCTTTGTAGGGTGCGGGGTCCACTAGGAATCGAACGGACACGATGGTATCCGTATCATGCAAGCCGAATGGGAGGGGGGCGCGATTGGATGATGGGATGGCAGTAATGACGTGGCGACGGGTCGCAGAGAGCAATGATGGTAGTGATAATTTCTATGAGTTATCTCAGGGAAGAGAGCCAGTGTGAACTGTGAAGTCCAAACGCGGGACCCACCACCCCTTGCACCTCCTTTAAATTTTCTAGGGATAATTTCAGAAACCTCCCCTGAGGTTTCTGACATTTACACTTACCTCCCCTGTGGTTTGAACAATTACACTGACCTCCCATGAAGTTACTAATCCTTTACAAATTCAGTCCAAATGATTAAAATATTATTTTAGAGAGTGAAATTAGAATTTTGTACCTAATTTGTCCTTTGTGCCACATGTCCAATGAATGGCAAAGTATTACAAATTAATTAACAATTAATAAATTTTAACGAGCGTAGTTTATAAGCAAATACGTATTGCCTATTTAAAGTACCAGCTCTTTACATGAATTTTATTTTCAAACATTTACTTTATCACAAATATTTATTCTCAAATACAGATTTGTATTTACTCTCAAATATTCAATTTTTGTTAAATACAAAACCTACCAGTTTTTCTTCCATAGAAATATTAATATAACATTTTTTCAATTTCAATTACAAATATTTATGTATTTAACATAAATTAAATGATTCAAAATAAAATACTCATAAAGAGCTAATACTTTACTCATGTAATGGATGAAAGTCATAAAAAATTAACATTTTATAGGTCATTTCTTTTTTTCAATTTTAATTTATATTAAATAGATAACCTATCGATTTTCTTTTTACAAAAATATTATTGTAACACCTTTTAATTTTT